TAAGGTAGGAGGACTTGTGGTACCCCAAAGGAAAGGCTTTGAGACAGGCACACACATGTTTAAAAAGTTCCTTTTGGGGAAAAAAAGAGAAAAGACTTGAGTGGCTGAAGCAGGAAAGGCACCAGATGGTAAACTACAAAAACCCTGACCTGAGGCAGGGCTTCTCTGAGTGTCTTCTAGAACGTCTCCTGCCTCTTGAGGCAGGCACAGGAGGAGTGTGCAGGACGCCTGCCGTTCTGTCCCTGCCTTCTAAGCCCATGTTGGGGACCCATTTCTTCAAGTCCCACTGCTGTCCCTGGTGCCCAGAGGCCCCGTGCTTGGCTCTGCCCAGTGGTGTAAGAGTTTGAAGTGAGAAGGCCGCAAGGGTAGGGCTTGAACTCCCCACCCCCAGGAAGCCACCCAGTGTTGGGTCAGCATTGTCGCCTGCATAACTCTTGTGCCCTGTCCTCTTGGATCTAGTATGGAGAGAGCGAGGAGCCCATGGGAGATGATGACTACGATGAGTACTCCAAGGAGCTGAACCAGTACCGCAGGTCCAAGGACAGCCGAGGCCGAGGTGGGCAAGGGCGCTGCAGGGACAGGCCGCCTGGGCTTCAGCAGCTGCTGGGCTTAGCATGGGGAGTCAAATCCCTTCTCTCCTTCTCCACAGGCTTAAGTCGAGGCCGAGGCCGGGGTTCCCGAGGAGGCCGAGGGAAGGGGATGGGCCGGGGCCGAGGTCGAGGCGGCAGAGGGGGAATGAGCAAGGGCGGGATGAACGATGACGAAGACTTCTACGATGATGACATGGGCGTGAGTACACTCTTGTGATCCGATGTGGATTTTGTTTGTTTCCCATTTCCTTTTCCTGTGGATGGGTGCTTTGCCTGGATGCCTGTGTCTGCGGCAAGTGTGTCCTTGGAGCTACAGAGGCAGGACAAGGGCATTGAGTGCTCTGCGACTGGAGTTACAGACAGTTTGGAATGGCCGTGTGGTAGTTGGAATTGAACCTGGGTCTTCGGGAAGAACAACCAAAGTTTTTTGTTATTGTTTTGTTTTGTTGTTGTTGTCTTTTTTGAGTTAGGGTTTTTCTGTGTAGTCCTGGAATTCATTTTGTAGACCAGGCTGGCCTTGAACTCAGAGATCTGCTGAGCAGCCAGTTCTTTTTTTTTTTTTCTGAGACAGGGTTTCCCTGTGTAGTTTTGGTGCCTGTCCTGGATCTCTCTGTGTAGGCCAGGCTGGCCTCGAACTCACAAGAGATCCGCCTGGCTCTGCTGGGATTAAAGGCGTGCACCGCCACCGCCCGGCAAGCAGTCAGTTCTTAACGCTCTTAATCAGTGAGCTCTCTGGTCCCTGTGATCTGATGTTTTAACCAAGGCTATTTTGGGGATTTTTGCTATTGTTTTCTAATGAGCCATTCTAAAATTGATCCTGTCCTGTTTCCATCAGTCCCTTACCCAGGGGCTGAGCAGTGTTTACCAGTTCCCCAGAGGGATGCCCTGTTGATAAAAGCCCTCTGTTTAAAACTACACTTTAGCAGTTCTTGGAGTCATCTTGTTGAGTCTAAGGTGGAAAGGTTCTACAGGATTCATCCCGATGTTCCAGGAGAGTTTCCAAAAAGGCTGCCGCCCCTCTAGGAGCGGTGTGTCCCACGCTGCACTTGGAGCTTGGGTGCCCAAGGTTTTCCAGTCTGAGTTCTGCATTGCATGTGGGTGACTGGAGCTGTCTGCACCTGTCCTGCTCTCTTGTACGCCGTATGTACTTCCCATCTCTCCTTCTCCATTACTCCCAGGATGGCGGGGGTGGAAGCTACCGGCGGAGTGACCATGACAAGCCCCACCAGCAGTCTGATAAGAAAGGCAAAGTCATCTGCAAGTACTTCGTGGAGGGGCGATGCACTTGGGTAAGCAGCACCCTAGCACGTGTGGCCCACACGGACGGGCTGCCACAGTGCACACTCTTGGGAAGAAGGGGAAGGATTGTGTGATGGCCTGCCCTTCTGGGCACCTCTGGGTCCCAGGAGACATCTGGGCAGCCTTCTTTCTTAGAAGTAAGAGGACTTAGAGCAAGCAAGATGATGTGTTGAGAGTGTGAGTTGGCAGAACTTTTTATCTAGTCTCTAGAGTCTCCCATGAATCTACAAGGATTAATCTGTTCTGATTATACTGTTGAATCTCAGGGTGTAACCCTGGCTGTCCTGAAACTCCCTCAGTAGACCAGTCTGGCCTCAAACTCAGAGATCCACCTGCCTCTGCCTCCTGAGTGCTGGGATTAAGGGCATGCGCCACCACGCCTGTCCTGGAGAAGAATTATTAAAGACTCCAGGCAGAATCAGCCTCGACTTCAGAGTTGTGCAAGAGACAAGTGTGGTCACTTAGTTAGGACAGGTGGCTTGTGACTGATCCAAAGACATTAGCAGGTGGCACATAGACCTGAGGGGTTCTGCTCCCATAGAAGTTAGAAAGAGATAGGAATTTCAAACAGACACGTTGTGTATAAAACAATCCTATGACTCAGTTTGTCACTCAGCATGTCAGAGACTTCAAAGCTGCCACTTGGTCAGTGGCCCTCTGGGGACCTAGAGTCTTTCATACTTAAACATGTGGCATTTGGCTGGGGGCGGGGCACACACCTTTAATCCCAGCATCTGGGTGGCAGAGGCGGGAGGGTCTCTGTAGAGTTTGAGGCCAACTTGGTCTACAGAGCAAGTTCCAAAACAGTTAGGGCTACACAGAGAAACCCTGTCTCCAAAAGGAAAAGTTGGAGTAAGTACCTGCTTTTGCCAGGTGTGTGGTTTAAGCCTTTAATCCCAGCACCCGGGGTACAGAGGCAGGTAGGTCTACATGTCAAGTTATAGGCATAGTGAGATCTTGTCTCAAAAGACAAAAATCTATTTTAATTCAGAAAGTGTCCTGCCTGGAAGCATTGGGAGCCTCCTTTTCCCTAGTGGTATGCTCTTGTCTGTGGTCCCTCTGTAGACAGAAGTGAATCAGAACTCCCTTCCCCAACCCACTCCTCCTGCTTCTCTTCCAGGGAGACCACTGCAATTTCAGCCACGACATCGAACTGCCGAAGAAGCGAGAGCTGTGCAAGTTTTACATCACGGGGTTCTGTGCCCGGGCTGAGAACTGCCCCTACATGCATGATATCCTGTCTGCCCTGGGCTGCTACCCCTGGGGCCGCAGCAGGCTGCCTCCCCTCTGCCCCCCTTACCCACACATCCTTCTCGTCCCCTCTTCTGTCAGGGTCTGAGGACCTCGTTTACAGCCAGCTCTGCAGGCCAGAACTTGCTCTGGAGTAAAGCGGTGTCAAGAAAGAAAGGCACCTGGTCTTGGGTCAGCTGCCGGCCACTGCACAGCTTCCTGAGTTGGTCACCTCACTCCAGAACCAAGAGGGTGGCAAGGGGGTGCCCGTGCTTTGGGGTGGGTTCTGAGAGGAAGCGTTTACCTTAACGAGTCGTGAACGGGACTTTCCCTGTAAGTTATACCACACCACTGGGAACTGCATCAACGGTGACGACTGCATGTTCTCCCATGACCCGCTGACCGAGGAGACCCGAGAACTCTTAGATAAGGTAATGTCTGGGGCGGCACGGGGCGAGGCTGAGAAAGCCGGACCCCACTCAGTGGGCACAGGCTCTGCAGGGTCCCAGCCCCAGTTGCACCCATCTGGACTAAGCTTTACTTTGTTGGGGGAAACAGCTGGGTTCCTTCCTACAGGAGACGTGGGGGTCACCTTGTGGTGGTGTGTAGAGAGAGATGCACAGAGTGGAAATGTCAGTGTCTCTCTCGAGTCACAGGGACTCATCCAGAAGGGATGAGGGGGACCAGGATCTCACAAACCAGGTGCCATTTGACGTTCACCTTGGTGTCTGTTCCTCCCCAGGTCAGCACAGGTGGTGGGGGGATGCTTGCTTTGCCCGTCCTTTTCAGAGCTATCAGCCTAGGGAGGAATAGCATCCAGGCACTTCAGGGTGAAATCAGTGGCCTTTGAAAGGACCGGCAGTGTCTGATTGAGGGCCGCCCCCTGCTGGAGGTTCAGTGTTCACACCCAACAAGAGCCCAGTCCTGCCCTCTTGGGTTGGTTTAGTTTTTCTTACAGGTTTGTTTTGGTTTTTTTAAAGTTTGGTTGGAGGAATTGTTTTTTGTTCATTCATTCATTCATTCATTCATGGTTTTTTGAGACATGGTCTTTTTATGTAGTCCTGGCCATCCTAGAGCTCACTATGGAGACTAGGATGTCCTCAAACTCAGAGACTTTTCTCCCTCCCTAGTGCTGGCATTAAAGGTGTGCACCACTGTATCTGGCTATGTTATTTAAATTTTTATTACTTTTTTTGTCTTTTTCTTTCTCTCTCTCTTTTTTTTTTCCCGTTTGTTTTGGCAGTTTTGCTATGTGGCCCATGCTGACCTCTTCGTTTCTCCCTCCTACTCTTCTCAGTGCTAAATATGCAGGTGTGGACTCCCAGGTTCACTTGCTAAATTTTGTTTTGTTTTGTTTTGTTTTGTTTTGTTTTGTTTTGTTTTGGTGTGTGTGTGTGTGTGTGTGTGTGTGTGTGTGTGTGTGTGTGTGTGTATATGTTTGGGTGTGTGTTTGGGATAGGGTTTCTCTGTGCAGCTTTGGAGCCTATCCTGCAACTTACTCTGTAGACCAGGCTGGCCTTGAACTCACAGAGTGCTGGGATTAAAGGTGTGTGCCATCACACCTGGCTCACTTGCTAAATTTTTAATGAGCTGATTTCCAGCCATCTAGTCTAGTGTGGGAAGCTTGCCTCCATTGAAGAAAGTGATGAGGCTTATAGGAGCAAGTGGAAAGAGAGGCATGAAAATACGAAACAGCCGGGCCGGGGTGGCGCATCCCTTTAGTCCCAGCACTCGGGAGGCAGAGCCAGGCGGATCTCTGTGAGTTCAAGGCCAGCCTGGTCTATAGAGTGAGATCCAGGACAGACTCCAAAGCTACAGAGAAACCCTGTCTCAGAAAAAAAAAAAAAGAAAGAAAGAGAAATATGAAGCAGGCCCTCTCCTGTCCTGTGTGAGTAGGAGTTACCTTATTTCTCCTCTCTCTTTGCCTCTCTTTTTTTCTTTTCTTTTCTTTCCTTCTCTCTCCTTTCCCCTCCCTTTCTTTTTTCTTTCCTTTTTTTTTGTTTTTGTTTTTTGTTTGTTTGTTTGTTTGTTTTTCAAGACAGGGTTTCTCTGTATAGTTTTGGTGCCTGTCCTGGATCTCACTCTGTAGACCAGGCTGGCCTCAAACTCACAGAGATCCGCCTGGCTCTGCTTCCTGAATGTTGAGATTAAAGCACGTGCCACCACTGCCCAGCCCCCCCCCTTTTTTTTTTTTTAATGGAAAAAATGTTTTGAAATTAATTTAGAAATAGAAAACCTCTTAAAAGGGGAGAAAAAAGACAAAGTATACAGGCAAATTTTTACTTCATGATCTTCTCACTACCTCATTTGTTTACTAGTTCCCACGATGAGAGAATACTCAGCCACCCACGATAATGTTATTAATAGGGATATAGATCAATTTCACAAAGAAGCCAATTAATCTCAAGATAGCAAGTCCTATTGCTGTTGCCATGGCAGTATTCTGGAATTCTTTTCTATCTGGCTTGGTGCATCTTTCAACCAGTCCGATTGAGTTCTTTGCAAACTGCCAGCTTGCCTAAACAAACCACATTCCCTGGTCCATGACTGCTGGCTGGCTGGCTGGCTGGCAGTTTGAGAAGTTGGAGACTTACTTTCTTAGGTGTCGAGTTATGCTAGAGCACAAAACCTAAGCATCCTGCAAGTGTGCACATGTGTCCCCACCCCAGGGCAGGTGTCTCTGTCCTCCCCCATGGTGTCAGTGCTGCAGCCACGCTGAGGTGGACCCCATGATTCTCCTGTCTCAGCTCCCAAGTGCAGGGATTACAAGCGAGCACCACCATGTTCCTGTCCAGCAGTGCTGTGGGTGTTGACCATCAGGTAGATGTGTGTCTCCTCTGCACAATTTAGACAGACAGGAATTCTCAAGAGCTGGACTCCCTCTGTCTTTTTCTGTAACTGCTCTACCCCAACTATCCCTTTGCAACTGTCTGTGTGGTTTCTGTCTCTATGGTTTACTCTTTTAGGGACTCAGGGATGGGAGCAGGGAGTAATTCAGTGGTCAAGCCTGTGCTTCCCATGCAGAAGGCCCTGGGTTTGAACCCTGTCACCACAGGAGAAGAACGAGTGATTTCTAGGTAGAACTGTACAGTAAGCAGGCTAGGGATGAGTGAGCTGTAATGCACTTGCCGTACACTCACAGCGTTGTGGGCCTCTGCAGTTCAGTGCTGTTGGCCGCAGAGTCGAATTCCTCAGCAGATGGCTAAGTTTGTTGATCCAGTCATTGGTTGAAGTACATTCGTATATTTCCAGTTTAGGCAAAAGCTTAGAATTTGTAAACAACTACCTTGTTTATTTGTGTATGCAAGCATGACTTTTTGTGTGTGTGTGTGTGTGGGGGGGTTTGAGGCAGGTTTTCTCTGTGTATCTCTGACTGTCCTGGAACTCAGTCCATAGACCAGGCTGACCTTATATCTATAGAGATCAGCCTATCTCTGCCTCCAGAATGCTGGAATTAAAGATATGTGCCACCTGTCCTGGGTGGTGACTGTCATTTTTGCATAGGTGACAGACTTTTGGAAATCCTTCAGAATACCAGCATCAGATCTCCTGGAAGGTCTGGGGACACAGCTGGGCACTCATGTTGGACAAGAGCCTGTTAGTGGTCATTGCTGTAGGGAGGCCATGGATGGGAGGCTGCAAGGGAGTGTGGGGCAGATATTTGTGCGTTCCCTCCATCGGTGCTGAGATGGCTGCTAGGTAGTTTGTGTTCTGTCCTCTGGTCATTTTCTCATGTGTGTTGTGCATGTTCACGTCATTGGGCTCAGATTGGTGTGGTGGGTGGTTGTCTGTGCCATGTCCTGAAGCATCACCCCTAGTGAGGCAGCAGGTAGCTGCAGGTACCTGTCCCTTGGGCGTGGCTGCCAGGGACCCTATAGACCTAGGATGTACGTATATGCCCTCTCTACCTCATGGAGTTTGGATGCTGAGATAGACCAGGGCAGAGCTCTCCAGAGAACAGCTTAGACCTTGCCTCACCCTTCTAAGATTCTGCTACAATCCCTTATTTCTGTCTTGTGAGTTAACCCCCAAATAAATTCCTTTGACCATTAAGCTAATTCCATAGATTAATAGCAACCTAATCACATTGGATTGGAAGACCAGGTTAGGAATGGACTCAAGCATCCTTCTTAGGCTATCATGTCTGTGTTGTCGAAGACACATATGAAGGCAGAAGCCAAGCTGTAGGGCTGCCTGAGAAAGGTTGTATGTTCATGGTAGAGGGCATCTCTAAGGGTGCCAGTAAGACTACTTTGATCTAGTTCCTTACCTGACAGTACGTGCTAGGGTTGATCCCCAGGCCTATCCTGACTGGTAGCTGTCTGTTAGAGATACTGGCCAGGTTTTCGCACTTGCTCATTGGTAGTAGAGAGAGGTGTAAAGTGTTTTGGAGCCTTGCTGGGCATTGGGCATGTCTGTCTCGGGACATTGGAGGCCTGTGGACACGGTGATGGGAAGCATGGCAGTGAGGGAAGGCTGCCTTCAAACTTGAGATCTTCCTGCCTCAGCATCCCCAGTGCTAAGATTACAGATGTCTACCGCTATGCCCTGTTGAAGATGGATGAATTTAGGCCCTGTGCTCTAAAGGCCCTCTGCAGGCTTGCGGTTTTAGGGTTTTCCTCAGAAAATTCAGCTCTCCACACACACAGTCTGACTTGGTGGAGTCTTCTGATGTGACCTCCCTTGCTCCCACAGATGCTGGCTGATGACGCAGAAGCAGGGGCTGAGGACGAGAAGGAGGTGGAAGAGCTGAAGAAGCAGGGCATCAACCCCTTGCCCAAGCCACCTCCTGGCGTGGGGCTCCTGCCCACCCCTCCCAGGCCCCCTGGGCCCCCAGCTCCCACCTCTCCTAATGGCAGGCCCATGCAGGGTGGCCCTCCTCCCCCACCCCCGCCCCCTCCTCCTCCTCCTGGCCCTCCTCAAATGGCCCTGCCGGCACATGAGCCACTGTCCCCGCAGCAGCTGCAGCAGGACATGTACAACAAGAAGATCCCGTCTTTGTTTGAGATTGTGGTGCGGCCCACAGGGCAGCTAGCAGAGAAGTTGGGTGTGAGGTGAGTGCTTATGCCCACAGAAGCACAGGGGCATGACCTGGTAGGGCCCTGCCCTCTCTGAAGCTGTCAGATCCTATTTGGGCCCTTGGCCTTAGGCTTCAAGTGAGCACTGTGGGTATCCTGGGCTGGGCGCCACTACCTTTCCTCAGCAGCTTCCTCACAAGTATCATTTTCTCCTCTAGGTTCCCTGGACCTGGTGGACCCTCAGGGCCAATGGGTCCTGGCCCCAACATGGGACCCCCAGGGCCAATGGGGGGACCCATGCATCCTGACATGCACCCTGACATGCACCCTGACATGCACCCAGATATGCACCCCGATATGCATCCTGACATGCACCCTGACATGCACCCCGACATGCATCCCGACATGCCAATGGGTCCTGCCATGAACCCTGGCCCTCCCATGGGTCCTGGTGGCCCCCCGATGATGCCCTATGGTCCTGGAGACTCCCCACACTCGGGAATGATGCCTCCCATCCCGCCAGTCCAAAACTTCTACGAGAACTTCTACCCGCAGCAAGAAGGCATGGAAATGGAGCCGGGGCTCGTTGGGGATACAGGTATGTAAACACCATATGTAAACACGGGCTGGGCTGCAGAGCTGGGCTCGCCAAGGTGGGGTGGTGGGCAGAAGCGGCCTTTTCCTCCTTGTTCAAGTCTTAGAGCAACATTTCAGTCCCATTCCTGTCCCGTGGGTGTTTTCAGGATTGTGGGAGCACAAGGCTCCTTCCTGCGTGTGTTGTCAGTGTAGGAAGCTCTGCTCATAGTGCCCGGTGTCACTCAGGAGCAAGGCAGGGATGCCTTAGGACGCTGTGCTCGTGCTCGTGCCCTAGACAAGGCCCCTCTTAAGGTAGTGCTGGGCGGGCTTGGTGACTGCCTGCCTGGCCCGGTGACCGGACAGGTTCCTTCCCCTCTCTGTGTCCCAGTCAGGACTGGATGCTGTGGGTGGTAGTAGGACACTCATTGCAGCCTCTGAAAGGAGGAGGGACCCAGCTCACAGCGAGTGTACTCTGTCCTTGCCATGCTTGCATCCTAGTAGAAGGAAACAGAGAAGTTGGGCGGCTCATTTGAGCCTTAGCCATTGTTAGAAAATAGCATGGGGCAGTGAGAGCCGTGGGAGGCAGCCAAGGCCCAGCAGGGACGTCAGCCGGACCTCCTCCGAGAAGGTGGCCGGCTTGTCTGAGGGGAGCAGAAACGGCTATGCTATACAGGAAAGGTGTGTGCCACCTGGCGGGAGTGGCCTTGCCTGCTCTACAGAACATCGTGGGGGGCGAGGGGCATGGGACATGCATTCCTGCGCTTCCCAGCATCCAGGAGGCTGAGGCTGAGGCTGAGGCTGGAGGATCGCTTGGAGTTCTGGACCAGCCCAGGATACAGTGAGACTGCCAAACAACCAGAACAGTGGAGGAAGTGTGCAAGCTTCCATGGAGTTGCTTACAGCAGATAGCAGGGAGATAGCCTAGAGTATAGACAGGTCTCGTGGTGTGGACGTGGCACTTCGGAGCCAGTGTGACCCTCTGTGCTGTGTAGGGCTGAAAGGAGCAGCTGGAAGGATGGGTCCGGGTATCGGCAGACCTTAACTGAAGCTCAGGCTGGTCTGTTGGATGTGAGGATCATGCTGCCTCGGCCGTGTGCCTGAGCAGCCGTAGTGTATGCGTGGCACATGCTAAGGAGTAGGGCTTTAGGAGACGCTGGAAAAGGCAGGCTGCCAAGATAGAGGTACTAGTGCCTGGCCTCCATTGGTTGGCTTGTTGACGGTGGGTATCTGCAGTGAAAGTGAGCTTGTCACCTGAGTTCCAGGAGCCACCCTTCAGAGCACAGAGCTGCCGTGGTCTCCACACACCTGTGTGGCCTTCTTGTAATGGGTGTTCTGTGGAGATGGAGCCTCAGCCTTTGTCCCCGCTCCAGTGGCTGTAGCGTAAATTAAGTCTCCTCAGGCTCATACCCTGACCTGGAAGGAGGCCTCCTACCACTGGGTATGAACATTTACAGTTTTGCAGTGTGTGGGGGTGCACATGAGCAGTGTGCACATGTGGGTAGGCTAGGCTGACATCAGTTGACCACTGTGTATATTGGGGCAGAGAATCATTGGAACTTGAGATCGCCATTTCAGGTAGTCTAGCTGGCTAGAACTAGGAATGCCCTGTCTACTTCCCTCCCAAGCACTGGCATTACAGGCCATTGCCATGCATGCCTTGCCTTGCTTTATGTCTGTGTTGGGGATCCAGTTGTGTGGTGGTAGCCCGCTGAACCATCGCCCCAGTCCCCAGTTCTTCAGTTTAAACTATTGAAAACACCAGACTGACTTTCTTGGTAGCATGGACTGCATCTCTGATGCTCAGGACATTGCCCCAGCTGGGTAAGAGTCACCGCCACATGTGGAAGGGACAGAGAGGACTCTTGACCAAGCCCGTCCTGCGTCCTCCGGCTCACCACTCTACATTCCGGGGAGTCGCAGTGAGAGAGCGGTGCCGTTCTAATGCACATGGTAGAGCTGGTTGGTCAGGAAGGGAAGCTCCCTCGCCCTGCCATCCATCTGCCTATGTGCTCAGTAATTCTGGTGTCCAGGAGCCCCTAGAGGACAGAGGGGGTGCCCTGAGCTGGACTGAGGTTTTTAGTGAGTCTTGTTCTCTTTAGGTTCTGCTTCTGGGAGATACAGTGATTTGCTTTCTTACAGGCATGTCCAGCCTGCAGCTTAGGCCCTGCATACAGCTGAGAGTAGCTGTGAATGCAACATAACACAAAACCTTAAACTTAATTATGCATTATGAGTAGACCAGCCATGGTGGCTCACACCTTCAGTCCCAGCACTTGGGAGGCAGAGTATCCCAGTGAGTTCAAAGCCAGCCTGGTCTGTTAGAGTTTCAGGACCTCTTTGTGTGAGATTATTTTTACTTTGATCACGTGCTTTCTCAAGCATGAACTTGGCAGGTGACAACATCACATCACGATGTCAAACGGTTGGACATGCCTGCAAGAAACCATGAGACAGCTCATGGCAGACGATGAACCAAGCCTGCTTCCTCTGAGGACAGCAGCAGCTACCTAGCCTGAGAGGGATAGGCCTGTCTGCCGCAAGTTTCTGTCTGAGGCGTATGCACGCAGTTCTGCTGACATCCATAAGCATCCACCATGCGCTCCCTGCGCCTCATCCCTTCCCTGCCAGCTGGCCCACTGTGGGCTCCTGCTGGACTCTCAAGGCACCCAGGCCTGGGGAGGAGGAAGGGACGGGTGGCCATCCTCATCCTCGCACTCGCCACCAGCCTTGGCTTTTCCAACGGAGGCCTTCCCGACACAAACCCTCTTCCCTGCCACAGAGGACTACGGGCACTACGAAGAGCTGCCGGGGCAGCCTGGGGAGCCCCTCTTCCCCGAGCACCCTCTGGAGCCCGACAGCTTCCCCGAGGGAGGGCCCCCAGGCCGGCTGAAAGCGGGCGCCGGTGTCCCCGACTTCCTGCCCTCGGCCCAGAGGGCCCTGTACCTGAGGATCCAGCAGAAGCAGCAGGAGGAGGAGAGAGCGAGGAGGCTGGCTGAGAGCAGCAAGCAGGACCGGGAGAATGAGGAAGGCATGTGTCCCCCGGCAGCGCCCAGCCGGCTCTGTGCAGGGACGAGGGCGGGCACCTAGGCTGGGTGCTGTGTCTGAAAGGAGCTTGGCAGGGAGGCCTGGCCTGAGCGGCTGTGCCTCACGCCGAGGAACGGAGGCCAGGGTTCCTCTGCATCTTGGGTTCGGGAGACTCCTGACTCGGTGGAGGAGGGTGGTGGGCTGGTTCCTAGCAGAGACCGTGCCCTTCCCTAAGAAGCTTGAATGACACTCTGATGGCTGATCCCTAGAACACATACTTGGGACTCCAAAGCCAAAGATGGGCCAGCCAGCCATAGAGACACAGCCATGGTGTCACCAGTGGTGTAGGCACAGGCTCGAGTGGTCACCCCGGTGGTATCCACCTGAGGGCTGAATGGCCCCAGGGTCTCAGGAACTTGGAGCAAGCCAGTGGGGGCAGACAACACAGGAAGAACGGCAGGGAGGCGGCCCTCCCCGTGGCTCGGTTTCCCTCCCTCCTGGGCTCTGTGTGTGGTTGCACCTGCCCTTCCCTGACCCTGGACTGTTGTGAGGGGTCTGGGGATGTGCGTGTGAGCTGTCAGCATGGCCGTTGTCCAGACCTCCAGAGAGAGGGACTAGAGCTGGTCTGGACCAAACCTGCCTGCAGGGTGGGAAGAGGCAGTAAGTAGGACTTGGGCTCTGAGGCTCAGCCCTACCCTGACTTAATGGCACCATACATACCTCCATTTCTTCATCTGTCCAGCGGGCATGTTGATGACAGGACCTCCTGGGTGGTTGTGTGAGTTATTCCGATCAGACCGCCCACCAGGAATGGTGCTGGCCTGAGAGGCCCTGATGCTATCAACACCTAGAGCCAGGTTGTGTACCCCTGGCTCCCAGCGGGGACCCTGGGAGATACTAACCAACAGCCCAGAACCACACACCAGGGGACCCCAGGGCTCCATGAGGCCTACGGGATATGGCCGTTCATGCCTCCCACTGCTCTGCTCTCTCTCAGGTGACACCGGAAACTGGTACTCAAGTGACGAGGACGAGGGGGGAAGCAGTGTCACATCCATCCTCAAGACCTTGAGGCAACAGACGTCAAGCCGACCCCAGGCTGCAGTTGGGGAACCGAGCGGCAGTGGACTGGGGGATCCCCGCCTGCAGAAGGGACACCCCACAGGAGGCCGGCTGGCTGACCCCCGCCTCAGCCGTGACCCCAGACTCAGCCGCCATGCAGAGACTTCAGGGGGCACTGGCCCAGGGGACTCGGGGCCCTCTGACCCTCGGTTGGCTCGTGCCCTGCCCACCTCCAAGACGGAAGGCAGCCTTCATTCCAGCCCTGCAGGCCCCAGCAGTTCCAAAGGACAGACCCCTGCAGAGGAGGAGGAGGGGGAGCGGGCCTTGCGCGAGAAGGCTGTGAGCATCCCCCTGGACCCCCTGCCTGGGCACCCACTGCGGGACCCCCGCTCTCAGCTGCAGCAGTTCAGTCACATCAAGAAGGACGTGACCCTGAGCAAGCCGAGCTTCGCCCGCACTGTGCTCTGGAACCCTGAGGACCTAATCCCCCTGCCCATCCCCAAGCAGGACGTGCCCCCGGTGCCTGCTGCCCTGCAGTCCTTGCCCGCCCTGGACCCCAGGCTGCACCGCTCCACACCCCCTGGACCCCCCAACACCCGGCAGCGTCCTGGCTCCACAGACCCCAGCACATCTGGCTCTAACCTACCCGACTTTGAACTCCTCTCTCGAATCCTCAAGACTGTCAACGTCAACACCCCTGGCCAGAGTGACAAACCCAGCGACCCCAGGGTGCGGAAGACCCCGACTGACCCCAGATTACAGAAGTCCGCAGACCCTGCGGCAGCATCCCGTGCAGCCAAGCCCTGTCCCACCGAAGCCTCACCTCCTGCCGCCAGCCCAAGTGGAGACTCGTCCCCGCCGGCCACAGCCCCCTATGACCCCCGAGTGCTGGCAGCTGGTGGCCTGGGCCAGGGCAGCAGCAGCGGGCAGAGCAGTGTGCTGAGTGGCATCAGCTTGTATGACCCAAGGACTCCCAATGCAGGTGGCAAAGCTGCAGAGCCCGCCTCCGACACGAGCGCTCAGCCCAAGGGTCCCGAGGGCAATGGCAAGAGCTCCGCCTCCAAGGCAAAGGAGCCCCCGTTTGTCCGCAAGTCTGCGCTGGAGCAGCCAGAGACGGGGAAGGCCAGCGCAGATGGGGCCGCAGCCACGGACAGATACAACAGCTACAACCGGCCCCGGCCCAAGGCCTCTGCAGCCCCCGCTGCTGCCTCGTCCACCCCGCCCCCCGAGGGGGCCACACCCCAGCCCGGGGTGCACAACCTGCCAGTGCCCACCCTCTTTGGGACTGTGAAGCCAGCCCCCAAAACAGGCACAGGAAGCCCATTTGCTGGCAACAGCCCTGCCCGGGAGGGTGAGCAGGATGCGGGGTCCCTGAAGGACGTTTTTAAAGGCTTTGACCCCACAGCTTCCCCCTTTTGCCAGTAGTGTCTGTGGGGGCCAGTGCTCCCTCCACTCCACCACCCTTCCAGGGTGACATTTAAGGGCAGCAACCAGAGTTACGGGTGGGGGGCAGGCAGGGTGTTCTTTCTTTACATTTTTCTTCCCTTTTCCCCTTTTGAGTAGTACTTTCTTTGAGTCATAAATTGTATCTAACCGTCTTGGGTTCTGGTCAGTGCTGCAGGCTCCTGGGCTCCCTCTGCCCAGTGAGCAACTTGTACCCTGCCTTGGACAGTAGCAAGTTCCCAGCCCGGGGCTTCCCTGGAACTAAGGAAAGCGGAAGCGTCTGGGAGGCACTGAAGGCCACTCACCCTGTGCTGCTGGGAGAGACAGACACGTGGTGTGGAAGCTGGTGTCGGAGTTTCCAGAGCCCCGGGTGAGCTGTCCTCTCTTCAGCACGCAGCCTGTGACAGCCTGCTTCAGGACACAGCAGCGGTGATGAGAAAATGTCACACGGAGAGAAAGGTCCTGGCAGCCCCCGGCCCTGACCTGCTTGGGCCTGTGCATCCCTCATCCTCCGTCCAGGGTTTGTCCTGAAAGTGACGCCCTCCAGCCCTCCAGGAGACTCTGGGTGAGACAGACCTCAGGCAGCAAGCCTGAGACGGTGGGGCCGCCCTCAGAGCGCTCTCCTCAGTATTACCTGTCCAGGGCCACTGGCCTGACCCTCGCGACAGCTCAAGGATCCGTGGTGTGGCCACCGGCCAGACTCCCGAGGCGGGAGGCCGGCGTGGCCCTGGCCAAGTGTCTGCTAGCTGCTTTCATGCGCCTTAGCCGTGTTATCTGTAGAGTACCAGATAGTGTTTGCTTCCCCTCCCGAGCTGACAGAAGCACGGCATCAGCGGTCTGTGGTGGTGGTGCAAGAGTGGGCGCTTGCTTCCCAGAGGGGCTGAGCAGACAGTCGAGTCGAGCTGGGCCAGAGTGGTGTGTCGGTCCTTTCTAGGAAAGGGACTTGGGGTGGGGAGGTGTAAGGCATCTGCCAGATCCCAGGCAGCGGAGGCATTTCCACAGCCTCCCCCACTAACCACCTTAGGACTGGCCTTGTCCAGAGCCTCAGGGGAGACTTCCTGTGACCATTCCCCAAGACTGGGTCAGGGAACTGGGTAAGACCCGCAGGCCTCTGTGCCTCTGGGTCACTTGCCAGGCCCTAGAGTCTGCTTTCCTGCAGCCTGCCTTTTCTATATTGGGTCTCTCGGCCCCACACACAGCCAGTGGATCTCCTCCACCTCGGGGAGACAGGTTCCCACATCCCCCATCCACCGCCACCCTCTCCATCCCACCCCGTATACCCTCCGCAGCCCAAAGAGAAATCCCTTCAAAACATTTTGGGGCCTGAAGCCAGGGTGGGAGGGGCTTGTGCCCCACAGGGCTAACACCCTGTGGGGTCAGTGCACCAAGATCAGGTTGGTTTTGTTTGTCTTTGTGTTTTTTATTTTGTTTTGTTTTCTTAAACAATCATCAATGAGATTTGTCTTTGGACTCCAGCCTTGACCTCCAAGACTGGGACCGTGGTAAATGTAGGATAGGGAGAGTACAGTGTGGCAGTGTTTGGAGCCCCCCACCCCCTGGAAAATTCTCTTCTGTAAAAGCCAGGCTTGGAAGTGCAGACCTGTCATCCCAGCACTCAGGAGGCGGAGGCAGGAGGATCACGAATTCAAAGCCAGCCTGGTCTACATTAGAAAAAGAAAAGTTTTCTTTTGTTAAAGAAAAGTTAAATGAATTTTGAAATCTATGAAATCTGTGGGTGAGACGGACTCTGGAGCCCTTGTCTTGGAATAGTTTAGCCGAAGCCCCTCGTGGGACAAGGAACTCCGCTTGAATCTCCACTCGCCATCAGGCCACGCTTTTAAAGAAAAAATGTTCTCTAACCAGGATTGTAACAAAAGTGTAAATAGTATTTCTGAGTTGAAAGTCGATGGTGCAAATATGTATATAACGTACTGTATTTTTACAATGATCGTCGCATGGCTCTCCCTCCCCTTTTGTACTCAGTCTCTGTCTTCCAGAAACCTCACCTGCCTTCTCTCATGTGGTCTCTTAATCCAGTAATTGTATTACTGCCATTAAAGGATGCAGTTATTTTAAACAGTCTGCCAGCCTAGTCTCTCTCTGCCCTGCCAGGGGACAGGCAAGGAGCCCGGGGCCTCGTGCCTGCTGGGGAGCACGAGGTCCTGCCACATCCCCAGCCCCCAGACACTTACAGAACCGCAACAGCCAGAGCCGATGCACAGCCATGTGATCCAACACTTGGGAGGCTGAGGCAGAAGGATGATGAGTTTGAGGCCAGCTTAGGCTAGACCTGGGATCAAAGAAAAGCCTTGAACTCCTGATCCTCCTGCCTTTCCTTTCTGTGTGCTGGGATTCTGGGTGCACACTGCCCAGCCCCACTTTATCTCTGTGAGCGCATGTATGTAGACAGAAACATGTAGATACGTACACACACCTACAGATGTTCCCCTACTGAAGATGTTCGCATTGGCTTTGGACACTAGAGTGTGCCCTGTTCAGTGAACTTCGATTTTGGTTCTTTTCCCGGGCTAGCAGTCCAGGATTTTTGTTTGTTTGTTTTGGTGTTTTGTTTTTGAGGCAGGGTTTCATTGGCCTTCAGTTCATATAGCCAAGGATGACGTTGAAGTCACGGTCTTCCTGTCTCTTCTTAGTGCTAAGATCACAGGCATATGCCACCAACAGCTACAGCCTCAGCCCAGCAGCTCACAGTCCCGTCTGCATTGCTGGGATGGGGAGGAGAGCTGCAGCTGGAAGCCAGGCACAGGGCCGTCATCGCTGAGTAAGGCAGAGCTTGTGTCCGATGCTTGTGCTCTGAGCATGCTGAAGTAGGGTATGCTAACTGCTCCTCAGGGCCTTAGGTGTAATAATGTTTCTTTTTGTTTGTTTGAGAAATGGTTCTACTGTGAAGCCTAGGCTGGCCGTGGACCTCTAAACTTCCTGTGTGCAATGCCTCTGTCACCCTCCCGAAAGGGTGTGATCATAGATGGATCTCATCAGGTCTGGCTATGCGTAGCTATTTTTAATTAAAGATGTGTATTTTCTGTGCATAATTTTGCCTGCATATATATCTGTGTACCTGATGCCTTCAGAGGCCAGAAAAGGGCATTACCTCCTGGAGCTGGAGTTGTGAGAGCCATGTGGGTGCTGGGTGAAGAGCTTGGATCCTCTGGAAGAGCAACCAGAATTCTTAAAAGTACACATTATTTAAAATTTAAAAAAACAAAACAAACAGAAAAAAAACAACCAACAACAAAATAACTCACGGACTGGGCTTAACACATTTTCTCAAAAAGTTCTAGAATTTGGGAGGTCAAAACTGAAGGTTCCGGTAGATTGAGTCCTTGGTGGAGGCTCTATTCCTAGGTGCATTCAGGTAAGGGAGAGAGGACAGTCTTAAGACACGGAGCCTGTTAAACTGGGTTCCCATCCTCAACGACCTTCTAGAACAATGGTTCTCAACCTGTGGGTCATGACCCCTCAGCGGCAGGTTGCATATCAGATATCCTGCATTCAGATATTTACATTATGATTCATAACAGTAGCAAAATTACAGCTATGAAGTTTTATGGTTGGGGGGTCACCACAGCACGAGGGACTGTATTAAAGGGTCGCACACAGTATTAGGAAGGTTGAGAAGCACTGGTCAGGAGTCATTTCATCTACCCACTGCCGTTGGTGGGCCACTCACATGTGATTACACCCTCCGGCCTCCTTCATGTGTCCCTGGCCAGCTGTTTGAAAGGCAGAGCTGGGATTTAGCTCAGTGACCGCAAACACTGGCCTTGTGAGATTCCCCAGCACTCAAAAGCACAAGTATGCATCTTCTTTCTTTTTCAGACAGGATCTTGTAGCCCAGGCTGGCTTTAACTGGTGATGCTCCAGCCTCAGCCTTCCAAGTACTAGGATCACAGGCATCTAACTTAGACGAATTTCTAAACAGTCTTATTAAATAAGAAACACAGAGCCAAAAATATAGGGGTGAAAGCCGTAGAAATCAGGGAAATAGTGAGAGCCACCAGCTCACCTTAGCTCACCACGATTCCTACTTTGTCTTTCCCTTGTTATTTGTTGTTTTCTTTTCCCCTCCAAGAGGAAGTAGACTGTAGATGCTTTATGTCAACTTCCTGGTCCCTTCCATCTCCTCCCCTACTTTGAGACTGCTCTTTATTTATTTTGGTGTTTTTGAGACAAGGTCTCTCTATGCGGCCCTGGCTGACCTGGAACTCACTCTGTAGACCAGGCTGGCCTCGAACTCACAAATACCCTCCTGCCTCTGCCTCCTGAGCACTGGGATGAAAAGCATGCAGCACTAGGCGACAGGATTGCCCAGACTGACCTCTAACTTGCTGTACAGCTGCGGATAACTGAATTTCTGATCTCCCTGCCCTCTCCAGTGCCAAGGTTACTGTTGTATCCACCGGGCCCCACTTATGTACTGCTGGGTGTGGAGCCCAGGGGCCAGCTTTTTTTGGGGGGGGAGCTCCCATCTCTGCCACCGTGCACCGGGGTTACAGGTGGAGTGTCATGTCTGTCCTGTCCAGCATTGATGTGGGTGCTGGGGATCCAAACTCATGTCCTTACGCTTGCATGGCAAATGCTTTACCCACCACGCCATCTCCTCAGCCCCTGGCATTATTTTATTTCTGGGTTTCAGAAGTTTCCATGTGGAGCTTAAGAGGGAGAGAGGAGAGTGCAGTTCCCGCATGGCAGAAGGATGGAATTCCTAGTTTCAGTAAAAATGTAGTTTTAAATTGAAACCTGGGTGTAGTAGCGCACATCTACAATTCCTGTACTTAGGAGGCAGAGGCAGGAGGATGACTGCACATCCAAGGCCAGCCTGATCTACATAGTGAATGAATGAAGGAGTAAAACAAGTAAGGACCAAGTAAGTCCCTGGCTGAACCGGTTAGGGAGGCAGTCAAGCGTAGGGAATACCTCAGCAACCTATTAGTGGAGTTCGGGAGCTCCGCTTGCCCGGGCTGTGCACGCAACCCTCTTCAGACAGTGCGCTGGGCATCTAAGGCCATCACCTGTGTTCTGCACACAGACCCTTCTAAAGATGCACCTAGCAACTGCTGGCAACCTGGGGTCCTCACCAGCATAGTCGATTCCATGTGGACAATGGAAATTGGTTATTTCCTTTAGAAACCCATGTTTCATTTCTTTTCTTTCTTTCTTTCTTTCTTTCTTTCTTTCTTTCTTTTTTTTTTTTTTTTTCAAGACAGGGTTTCTCTGTGTAGCTTTGCGCCTTTCCTGAATCTTGCTCTGTAGACCAGGCTGGCCTTGAACTCACAGAGATCCGCCTGCCTCTGCCTCCCGAGTGCTAAGATTAAAGGCGTGCGCCACCACTGCCCGGCAACAAACCCATGTTTCTGTTCAAACACGGTCTAGGAACTGTGAACCATGGATGAGCTGATCTGCTCTGAACTTGTTTGGTGCAGGCAGTAAACTGTGTCCTCTGAGTGATTTTAGGAAGACTCCTCCCACTAATTAAAATTGTGGGCAGGGCATCCCAGGTCCCAGAACTGAGCAGAGGCAGGCAGATCCTTGTGAGTTTGAGGCTAGCCTGCTCTGCATAGTGAGTTCCAGGACAGTCATAGATAACTACACAGTGAGACTCTGTCTCAACAAAACAACAAAAATTACCAGGGGGCCTGGAGCCATTGCACAGACTTTAAGAACACCTACGGCGATGGTGGCACATGCCTTTAATCCCAGCACTCAGGAGGTAGAACCAGGCAGATCTCTGTGAGTTCAAGGCCAGCCTGGTCTACAGAGTGAGACCCAGGACAGGCACCAAAACTACACAGAGAAACTCTGTCTCAAAAAACAAAAAACAAAACAAAACAAAAGAACACTCATAGCCCTTGGGGCTGGAGAGATAGTTATAGTTCAGTGGTTAAAAGCACTAGCTGTTCTTCCAGAGGACCCGAGTTCAATTCCCAGCAACTACATGGCAGATCACAGCTGTCTGTGGCTCCAGTCTACAGGATCTGACACCCTCATGCAGGCCAAACAATGCACAGGATTTCTCTGTGAAACAGTCCTGGCTGTCCTTGAACTCACTCTGTAGACCAGGCTGGCCTCGAACTCACAGAGATCTGCCTGGCTCTACCTCCCGAGTGCTGGGATTAAAGGCGTGTACTACCACTACCCAGCAAAACTGTACTTTTTTTTTTTTTTGGTTTTTCGAGACAAGGTCTCTCTGTGTAGTTTTGGTGCCTGTCCTGGAACTTCTCAATAGACCAGGCTGGCCTCAAACTCACAGAGATCTGCCTGGCTCTGCCTCCAAAACGTGAGCCACCACTACCCAGCTTCTTTCTTAATGTCCTTTTTAAAAATTATTTTATGGTATTTTGTCTGCATGTATGTCTGTGTGAGAATGTCAGATCACCTGGAATTGGAGTTAGAGCTGTTGTGAGCTGCCATGTGGGTGCTGGAAATTGAACGAGGGTCCTCTGGAAGAGCAGTCAGTGATCTTAACCACTGAGCCATCTCTCCACCCCCAATGCTGTTTATTTTTATTGTGTGAATGTTTTGCCTGCAAGTTCCCAACATATGTGCCTAGTCCCCCATGAAGGTCAGAAGTGGACATCATATCCCCTGGAGCTAGAGTTCTAAGATGCTGTGAACCACCATGTGGATGCTGAGAATTGAACCTAGATCCTCTTCAAGAGGTTCAAGAGGTTCTTAACTGCTGAACCATCTCTCCAGCCCCAGAGCCCTAAGTTTTCATGCCCAACAGTACAAAAGGAAAAAAGAAAAAAAATTGAGTCCTCTCCCTAGAGGTCACAAAACTCACACGTTTGTGATGTATCTATCTACTTCTGGTTCTGGGCCAATCTTCCCAGTGTTTGTACTTCTGTGTTTGGTGGTTTGAATGAGACACACACACACACACACACACACACACACACACACACACACACACACACACACACACCATAGGCCTGCATATTTGTTAAACTATTTTTTAAATATTTGTTTATTATGTATACAGTGTTTGTCTGCATGTCTGCCTGCAGGCCAGAAGAGGGCACCAGATCTCATTACAGATGATTGTGAGCCACCATGTGG